GTTTGGGTCATTGTGGACAGGTTGACTAAGTCAGCTCATTTCATTCCTGTGGCAGTTACCTATTCCTCGGAGCGGTTGGCAGAGATTTATATTCGTGAGATCGTCCATCTTCACGGTGTGCTCGTGTCTATCTTTTCTGATCGAGGTACGCAGTTTACCTCGCACTTTTGGAGGGCAGTTCAGCGTGAGTTGGGTACGCGGGTTGAGTTGAGCACAACATTTCATCCTCAGACAGACGGGCAGTCCGAGCGTACTATTTAGATCTTAGAGGATATGCTCTGCGCCTGTGTTATTGACTTTGGAGATTCTTGGGATCAGTTTTTGCCGTTAGCGGAGTTTGCCTACAATAACAGCTACCAGTCGAGCATTCAGATGGCTCCCTATGAGGCATTATATGGTAGACGGTATAGGTCGCCAGTTGGGTGGTTCGAGCCGGGGGAGGCTCAGTCCAGGCAAAAGAGTTATGCTGACAGTAATGTTCGTGATATTGCATTCATGGTTGGAGAAAGAATATTGCTTCGGGTATCGCCCATGAAGGGTGTTATGAGATTTGGGAAGAAGGTTAAGTTGAGCCCTAGGTATATCAGGCCATTTGAGATCCTCGAGAGAGTGGGGGAGGTAGCTTATTGACTTGCGTTGCCTCTAGGGTTATCCTCAAATCATCCGATATTCCATGTGTCTATGCTCCGGAAATATCATGGTGACCAGTCCCACGTGTTAGATTTCAGCTCTGTCCAGTTGGACAGGGATTTGACTTACGAGGAGGAACCGGTGGCCATTCTAGACCGGCAGGTTCGTCAGTTGAGGTCAAAGAGTTACCCTTCAGTTCGAGTGCAGTGGAGAGGTCAGCCTATTGAGGCAGCTACTTGGGAGTCCGAGTCCAATATGCGGAGTAGATATCCCCACCTTTTCACCAGCCCAAGTATTTTTCTAGGTCCGTTCGAGGACGAACGGTTGTTTTAGAGGTGGAGAATGTGATGACCCAAAAGGTCATATTATGTTTTAGAACTTGAATCGGCTCTCTTAAGCCTTAAAAATCTCATTTTTACCCTCCTCGATTTGCGTGCGCAGTCCGGGCAAGTTTCCGGAAAGCTTTTATGTTAAAAACTAATAAAAATAAGAAATTTTGCCTTAAAAGTTAATTTTAGTTGACTTCGGTCAACATCTTTGGTAAACGGGTCCAGATCCGTGCTTTGATGGTCCCGGTGAGTCCGTATCGATTTATGGGACTTGGGCGTATGCCCGGAATCGAATTTGGAGGTCCCTAGCTTGAGTTATGAATTTTTGATGAAAATTAAAAGTTTGGAAATTATTTATTTTTAAGAATTGATTGATATTTTGCATTGTGAGTATCGGGTCCGTATTTTGGTCCCGGAGCCCGCTACAAGTTCATTACGATATTTAAGACATGTCTGTGAAATTTGGTTTGAAACGGAGTTGATTTGACGTGATTCGGACGTCCAGTTGAGAAGTTATGGATTTTAAAGTGTTCTTGAGAATTTCATTTGAATTGGTACTAAATTTAGAGTTCTAGGTTTTATTTTGGCGATTTGATCGTGCGAGCAAATTCGTATGATGTTTTTAGACTTGTGTGCATGTTTGGTTTGGAGCCCCGAGGGCTCGGGTGAGTTTCGGATAGGCCACGGGATGTTTTGGACTTTGGAAATCTGGTTTTTCTGCAGAATCTGTGTTCTGGCATGTCCTTCTCCGCGTTCGCGAAGGTACTCTCGCGAACGCGAAGAGTAATCCAGTGAGGCCGAGAATCCTTCATCGCGAACGCGAAGGCCTGGTCACGAACACGAAGTGATGGGAGATTTACCCTTCGTGAACGCGACATGCTCATCGCGAATGCGAAGCACTTGGGGACCTGGGGGAGAGTTGGTCGTTCTTTCATCGAGAACGCGAGCAACGTCTCGCAAATGCGAAGGCCAGGGGAGCGTAACCATCGCGAACGCGAGCAACGTCTCGCGGACGCGAAGGCTTGGCAGCCAGTACCCTTCGCAAATGCGACAGTGGCCTCGCGAATGCGATGCACACTGTCTCCCAGTGCATAAAACAGAATCAAACACGGGTTTAAGCCATTTCTTCAACATTTTTCAAGAACCAAACGGGTAGAGGTTTTCAAGAGTCATTTTCTTACCCAAAGTATTGGTAAGTGATTCTAAACCATTTTCTTTCAATTACCCATTACATTTCTTGAATTATCAATAAAAAATCTAGAGTTTTTATGGTAGAATTATGGGTTAGGTTAGAAAATAGGGATTTTCGGAATTTGGGGATTTAGACCTCAATTTGAGGTCGGATTCCAAAACTAATTACATATTCGGGCTCGGGGGTGAATGGGTAAAAGGATTTTGGTCCGAACCTCGGGTTTTGACCAAGCGGGCCCGGAGTCGATTTTCTACTTTTTGGAGGAAAATTTGGAAAATTTAATTTATGCAATATAATTGATTCCTTTAGCAATATTTGATATTATTGAGTCATTTTTAATAGATACGACTGGTTTGGAGGTGAATTCCAAAGGAAAGGCTGTGATTGAGGATTAAGTAGCCTTCAGAGCGAGGTAAGTGTTGTGTCTAACCCTGACTTGAGGGAATTAGGAACCTTAGATTAATTGCTAAGTGAAATTTTTGTGAGCGGTGTATATGTGAGGTGACGGGTACCTATGCGACGCCAATTTACTTGTTTTTTTTCATTTTTCTCTGTTTTTCTGACATTGTCTCATTCCTATGCCAAATTGCTACGTGTTATACTAGTGTTATCCAAATTATCGTTCTTATTATGTTTACGAATTTTCTGGTGATAGTTGAGTTTTTATTTCAAGTTGAGATTGATATTATGGAACCAAATCTTGAAGTGCGGTTTGTACTTGTTATTCTATCTCCCTGTTGTTATTTATGCATTGCATTATGGTAAGGGAGAGTGTTAATGCACGAAAGGTGATGCCGTGCCATATTGTGAGTGTTCATGCACGAAGAGTGATGCCGTGCCATGATATGAGAGTAAAAGCACGAAGGGTGATGTCGTGCCGTTTCTATTAATTTTATGGTGAGATTGAGAGTAAAAGCACGAAGGGTGATTCCGTGCATTTTTCCTTACTGTATTCACTATTCATGTTGATTCATGGTATATTGACTGCTCCAGTGATTATTCTGTTGTAATTCTTTATCTGGTATTCCCCTCAATATGTTTTTCCCTCCCGATATTTCCTGTTTAGTTCTTCATTCCTTTTATTTGCGTATACACTGTTAAATTGTACAGGTTGATTGTAGGTGCCTTGCCTTAGCCTCGTCACTAATTCGTCGAGGTTAGGATCGACACTTACCAGTACATGGGATCGGTTGTACTGATGCTGCACTCTGCACTTTCTGTGCAGATTTTGATACTGGCTCTGGTTGATCGAGATTTTGCTATTGGTCCGCTGCCCGGAGACTCAAGGTAGATCTGTCGGCATCCATAGACCTTGAAGTCCCCGTCTATCATTTCTGTTCTACTGTTTCTTTATTCAGACAATTGTATTTCTTTCAGACTATTACTTGTAGTAAATTCTAGAATGCTCGTGAATTGTGACTCCAGATCCGGGTGGTAGTAATGAATACAGTTTTTATGATATTCCGCACTTATTATATTTTATTTTAGTTAATTATTGTTACTTAATGAATGAAAATAAGGAATTGGTTGAATGATTCTCTAACGTTGGCTTGCCTGGCAAGTGAAATGTTAGGCGTCATCACGGTTCCGTCGGTGAAAAATTTTGGGTCGTGACACTCCCATTTTCCATTTTTACCGATTTGGAGCTCGGATTGAGGCGATGTTTGGAAAAGTTCCAGAAAAAATAATGGGGTAAGTGTTCTTAACTCAATATTGGTTAAATTACCCGAATCCATCACTGTTTTTAATATTTAATTGGTGAATTAAGTTTGGAAAGTTTGAAAACCCTGTTGGATAAATTAGAGGATTTGAGGGCCGAATTTTTATTGGAATTTAGTAATATTGGTATGGGTAGACTCGTAGTTGAATGAGCGTTCATATTTCATAAGTTTTGCCGGATTTCGAGACGTGGGCCCCACAGATAATTTTTGAGTTAATTTCGGATTTTTATTTAAATAATTAATATTTTCTTATGAAATTGATTCCTATAATATTTGGTGACTGTATCGAATTATTTTGGCTAGATTCGAGCCATTCAGAGTTGGATAATAGAGGAAAAGGCTTGTGGATTAAATTGGAGCAAGTCGAAGTAAGTCTCTTGTCTAACCTTGTAAGGGAAAATTTACCCCATAAGTGATTTAAATTAATAATTATTTCTATTTGTGGGGGCTACGTACGCACGAGATGACGAGAGTCCGTATGTAGCTACTATTTATGCTAAAGTCCGAGTAGTTTAGGACTCAAATCATGAATTACGTGTGTTAATTGTATTCTTTCACTACAAGAAAAAGAGGCTTTAGCGGCAATAGAAAAGGTAATTAGCGGCAATAACAATAGCCGTTATATTCTTTACCGGCCATTGGTCTTTAGCCGCTGAAGTCGGGGTCGGCAAAGCCTGTAACGACCATTCTCACAAACGCTGGTAAAAGGTATGACTTATTGCCACTAATGACCATTAGCTTTAACGACAATTATTTGCAACAATTATGATGGCTGCTAAATCTATTTCCAGAATTGATTAGTTTGCTCTTTTAGTGCCTATCTTTATTGCAGGTAAATCAAATTAAATTGCAGCTAAAAATCACATACTTTAACGACTATTATAATGGTTGTTAAATTCATCTAGAAAATTATTTAGTTTGCACAACGTTCATTTTTATTATCGATAAATCCAATTAAATTAGTGAAAAATAATAACCCTTTTAGCGAAAGATGAAAGGTACAATTTAACAACCTCTTTATTGTCATTAAAACTATCTTTGAATTGGCAAATACTATAAAATAATTCACAAAAATATAATATTTCATTATATCTAGACAAAAAAGCAAGTAGTAATCTACATTATTAATGTGTGAACGACATAAAAGATAAAATTATATTGAATTACATAATTAATGTCATTACAACTAATCCTATCGAATGCCCACAATAAAAAAATAAAAGATACATAAGTTCACAAAAACAATTCTGCAACTCTTCATCGTATTGAAATCTTCCAAGTGCTACATTTTTGGACATTATTTATACGACCTGAAATAACAATAAATGTATGTTAAGAGATTAAATCAAGTGAAAAAAATAGTAATTCTATATGTAAATATATTCTGAAAGGAGCTGCCAACTTCAACCAATTAAAATGAATCCCAATAACTGGGAGAACATTGAAAAAAATTATTTAACAAAACTCACAATTGCTCAACCTTCATTCATTATGTCTTGATCAATTAAGGGAACAAACAAATGAAAGAGAATGGTCAATTAACAAAGTTCGCTAATCCGCAAAATTGTACTACTCAGGCCAAAAAAGCTGGATCCTCTAGTTACTGCTCCAAAAACCAACCTTTTCAATTCTCCTTTTGAGTGACACACATAGCACTATAGATGTATTATACAACTTAATTTTATCATTATAGTTAAAATCAGCTTAACACAAACTTAATCAAGTAAATCAGCCGACCGCTAGAAGTATTAGGGGAAAGCAAGCAGAACAATAGCCTCTTAAAAATAACAGAGACATCTATTTGACAACACAAATTGAGATGCAAAACAAATACCAACGTACAACCATGTTTGATACTTCATGCTGTAACAAATCTAATTATTCTAGATAATCAAATTATCCAGCATTTTCCTCATTCAATTTCAGAGAGTATGGCGCCATACCTAGAATAGAACAAGAGTTGCAAATTATTTGGGTATCAGTATGTTGAGAATAACAATGGTAACCACTATTCCTTAAACTTGGTGATCTGAACAACTTCAACTTTCCCTAGACATATGTTTCCTGCAGCAAAGCCTTTACGTACAGGGATAGTATTCTGATTAGCAATCTGAGAAACCATAACATAATTTTTATTGTCAAGTGTGATGTTTATCACCTTCTATCTATTTTCGTAGAAATTTCTTTTAAGAATATTTAATAAAGACAAATAAAGGGTATTTTCTTGGAAGCAATATGTCATAGGCAGAACATCCTTTAATCACATAATACATAAATAAAATCTATTCAAGCCCTTTCCATAGAGGCAAATGATAAAATCCTGATCTAAATAGATAGTCAATCTTCGATATAAAGTTCCTATATATATAGGAAGCATCTTACAATTAGTATTAAATTTGAGCAGCTTTGGCTCTTACGATCCATTATAACTGCTTGGTTTCCTATCTTATTTGCACTATCTTTAAGAGCAAAAAGAATACTAAAACATCTGTTAAAGATTTGAAAAGGTAAGATGTTTAAAAATAAATAAGGGGAGTAGAGAATTCAATTTTCTAGGGATGGTTGCTCTCTTAGGCAGTACGTTAAAAGTCTATGATGTCTAAACATCTAACACAAGCGTGATAGAGTATATTTTCATCATGTTCGCTTGACAGCTTCCACAATCAAACTTTTTCAACCACATCATGTCTCTAAAATATGATGTTCCTTGCTAACTTGTGCATAATTAGATTAGAAGGAGAATCGAGTTAGCCTTGAAAATTATGTAGAAATGAGGGATTATTTACTTTGTTGATGACTTACCTTTTCACGAAAAAGAAAAATCTTTCTTAGCTGTGCAACTTTCAAGTCTTCCTCTTCACTTAAGAAACATTATAAAAGAAAAACTAACAAAGAGATTAAGGGGAAAAATAATATAATTCTCATATGATAAAAAATTCAAGCAGCAAATATTAGAAATTTGAGCGGTTACCTCTAGAATTGCCCACATGAATATGATGTTGTCTCATTGAGAAAGATCGAGAAGAGTTCATTACTGTGCAAAAGAAAACATGAGCCACAAAATTATTTATCACTCTACAAAATGGAAGCCAAAGGCCTTCTAAGATGAGAAAGTTACAAGAAAATAGCATGAAGTGATTAAATATATTTTGTAACCGGATGTCGTTATATAAGAAGGTACTGTAACAGTCAAAAATAAATCTGCATTGTGAATTTCAATTCTATTAGAAATCTTAACATCACTACATGCTTTTGGTGATATAATATTCAAGTTATTTACCAGGTCATAGTGACTAGAGATGTTCCAAGAAAATTAGTCAAGGTGTTCTGAGTTGAAACATGTCAGATGAAATATCCACCAGCCTCTGCTGAGCAAAATCATGAAAAAACTTAACATACGAACAAAAGTTGCAATTGATTTTAGTAAATTAATTCTTTTTCATACTAGACCTTGTGACTAATGCTTTCAAATCTCTATTGTTTACAAAATCTGTAATTAGGTTGCCTTGCAAGTCAAAATTAGACATCTTAACTTACCGTAGAACCTTACAATGCAGGACACCCACTGTTTCAAAAGTTTCATCTCTAAATTACCTTTTGGTTTGATTCCTTCTTTCTAATTAATGGAAAATATAATTTGAAAAAACCTTCATGACTCCAGATTCATCTCCTTTCTCTACATTTTGGACCCATCATGCCTCAACAATTAGAAGACTAAATTTTCTAGAAAACAAAATATCATATTAGCACATTACAAATACACATTCCTATATAAACCCAACCACGTCACTGCCTCCGTCCCCCACAACACTAAGATTAGGTCTCAGATGATTAACCTAGAAAATTTTCCACATCTCACCAACCATGAACTCCTCTAAACTGCATTCCAATTCTCTTCTCCAAGTTTTTTACATACTCCATCAAATCTTATCTCATCAAACCCATAATATAAAAGCAATAGATCTCAAGAGAGAGAGAGAGAAAGGGGGGGTATGACTGATAGAGTGAGAGAGAAATGAGTTGGGTTACCTTGGGTTGATGGTCGGCGATGATTAGAGAAAGATGAGATTGGCAGCGGCGTGGCTGAGAGAGATGAAAGCCCTTTCGCTTATTTCCTCCATCTAATTTTTTTCTTTAATTGAATCTATTCAAATTACGAGAAAAATATTTAGAGGGAATATGTAATTTTTGTGAAAAACAAATGGGAGGGAAAACCATTTAATTGACAGTAAAAGAGCACCTTTTCCTGGCAAATATTGATCTACCGCTAATATCTCAATTTTAGGAATACTATATAGGCAATAGGTTTATTGCCCCAAAATAATAGTCGGTAAAAGCTATTTTTGTTGTAGTGTTTATTTAATTAATGTATTTGAACTATATTATGAATTGCTAGGGAAGATAGTAAAAGATAGAAATCTCGTATACTTGAATTTTTGTATAAATTAATTAATTATTAAAATAAATTATACATCGTCTTGTATTAATCTTATAATATATATATATCCTCATTCCGGAGGTACATAAGAAAATGTCCTCCTTTCTTGTGGAGCGGGCCGAACGCCTCGGCAATATAGATGCATCTATGGATCGCGCCGCACGTCCCTCGGTAGTGTACACGACACTCTGGATCGGGCCGTACGACCTCGGCAGAAATTGTGCCTAATAACAACAATTACACGATACCTTGATATTTTAATTGCAGATTGTGAAGTTGAATAAATAAATTAAAAATTGTCGCATTTGAAGAAATTTAATTATTTTTGCTGGTTAAAGGAAAATTATTGTAAACTCTATAAATCATGTTGATTTAAATATTTCTACTGTTATTTTATTTATTATTATTGACCCTTAGTGAGTATCAAAGTCGACCTCTCGTCACTACCTCTTCGAGATTAGGCTTGATACTTACTGGGTATACGTTATTTACGTACTCATACTACACTTGTTGCACTTTTTGTGCAGGACCTGAGACATGTGATATAGTTGGACCTATCGGCACACACTCATGTTATCAAGAGGCTTATTGGTGAGCTGCCTTTCTGAGTCGTTCTGCAGCAACTAGTGCCTCTTCTTAAAATTTTATTCTATCTATTTTATTTCAGACAGTATTTAAAATTTTTGTGTAATCTACTAGATGCTCATACACTTGTGATACCAGGTCTTGGCACACATACTAGTAGAATTTTTGGATTTAATTATTTTTTTTGGTTATTTTAATTTACCAGATCTTTTCACATTGTCTTGATTCTTGCAAGTAAGAAGTGTTTAATTACTGGGTTAATTTTTAAAGAGTTGAATATGTGTTTAAATTATTAGTTGACTTACCTAGCTGTAGTGTTGGACGCCATCACGACCTATAGGTGAAATAGGGTCGTGACAACATGGTATCAAAGCACTAGGTTCACGTAGGTCTCACAAGTTATGAGCAGGCCTAATAGAGTCTTGCGGATCAGTATGTAGATGCTTGTACTTATCTTCTAGAGGCTATAGGGTGTTAGGAAACTACCTTTCTTCATCTTCCATCATGCAATATATGTAGAACTAAATATCTTCCTCTTATTCTCTCACAGATGGTGAGAGCGCGCTCTAATGAGGATTCAGACCAGGGAAGAGCTACTCCCCCTGTTGTTAGAGGCCGAGGCAGAGGCCGAGGGACGGCTCCAGCCCATGTTAGGGGATGAGGACGTCCCCGGATGGTTCCAGTTATACCACCAGTGGGTCCAGCAGAGGATCCCATTATTGAGGAACAGGGCGAGGCGTCCGTGGCAGAACCAGCTCCGATGGATTTCACGTTTGCACCAAGATTCTAGGAGGTCATGGGTCGTATGCTACGGTTCATGGACACTATGACTCAGGCTGGTTTATTTCCGGCAGACCCAGCTACATCTCAAGCGGGCGGGGGATCACAGATCCCTACCGCACAAGCTCATGGGCAGACAATTACTATATATCAGACCCAAGGTGCACTACCCGTGGGTGGAGCCCAGCTAGTGGCAACAGCTACACCTGAGCCCAGACCAGCTGCAACGGCCGAGCTACAGAAGCTATTGGACAGATGGACTGGACAACATTCTCCTGTCTTTGGGAGTGAGCGACATGAGGATCCACAGGATTTCATTGATCGGTGCAGGGACAAACTACACAACATGAGCATATTGAAGTCTCATGGGGTAGACTTTGCTACTTTTCAACTAGAGGGCAGAGCTCGTAGATGGTGGAAGTCTTATCTTCTGGGCAGGCCAGCAGATTCTCCTCCCATGACTTGGGACAGGTTCACCCGTATTTTCCTGGATAGGTATATTCCACCATCCCAGAGGAAAGAGTTGCGGTTTCAGTTTGAGCAGCTCTAGCAGGGTCAGATGTCAGTGACCGATTATGAGGCGAGGTTCTCTGAGTTATCTCGCCATGCACTTATGATACTCCCTACTGAGGCGGAGAGAGTGCGGAGATTTGTTGCGGGTTTACATACTGGCATTCAGGCCACTATGGCCCGAGAGGTTGAAATGGTTACTTCTTATGAGCTAGTCGTGGAGATAGCCCGGAGGATTGAGGGTGTGTGTCAGCAAGGCTGAGAGCAGGTTATGAGAGATAAGCGGTTTAGATATTCTGGAGAGTTCAGAGGTGCTCCGTCTGGAGGTAGAGGTCAGTTCGTGAGAGGGCAGTCCAGCAGGCCCCCATATCCAGCACCACCGCCTCCTCGGGGTGCTCCAGTACGACCTTATATCAGTGCTATGCCAGAGAGTTCTTATCGCCCACCAGCTATTCAGGGTTCTTCCAGTGGGTATTCAGGTCACCAGGGTCAGATTTTTAGTCAGCAGCCCATCACACCAAAAAGTTGTTACGAGTACGGGGATCCTAGTCACATGCGGAGATTCTGCCCCAGGCTTCGGGGTAGACCAGTGCAGTAGGGTCAATAGCCTATGATTACCCCACCAGTTGCTTCACCAGCCATCAGACCACCAAGAGGTGGAGGTCAGGTGGGTAGGGGTCGTCCTAGAGGTGGAGGCCAGCCAGTTGGCGCTCCAGCTCGGTTCTATACTTTTCCGGCCAGACCAGATGCAGAGGCCTCAGATGTAGTGATTACAAGTATTATTTCTGTTTGCGGAAATGATGCCTCCGTATTATTTGATCCAAGGTCTACATATTCCTATGTGTCATCTCTATTTGCTCATTTCTTGGGTGTTTCTCGTGAGTCCTTGAGTACTCTTGTTTATGTGTCCACTCATGTGGGCGATTCTGTTGTTGTGTATCGGATCTACCGGTCATGCATTATTATATTCTATGGTTATGAAACTAGAGCAGATCTTCTATTTCTTGAGATGACTGACTTTGAAATCATCCTGGGCATAGACTGGTTATCTCGATATCATGCCATCATAGATTGTCATGCCAAGACTGTTACCTTGGCTATTCCAGCATTGCCTAGGCTAGAGTGGAAGGGTTCATTTGTTAGTGCATTTAATCAGGTTATTTCTTTTATGAAGGCTCGACACATGGTTGAGAAGGGTTGTTTGGCTTATCTAGCCTATGTTCGGGATACTACTGCAGAGACTTCGACTATTGATTCAGTGCCTGTAATTCGGGAGTTCTCCGATGTATTTTCTTCGAATCTTCCAGGCATGCCACCTGATCGTGATATTGATTTCTGTGTTGACTTGGCTCCAGATACCCAGCCTATATCTATCTCGCCGTATCACATGGCTCCGAAAGAATTGAAGGAGTTGAAAGAACAGCTTGAGGAGTTACTAGCCAAAGGGTTCATTAGGCCGAGTGTATCACCTTGGGGTGCACCGGTATTATTTGTGAAGAAGAAGGATGGTACTATACAGATGGGTATCGATTATCGACAATTGAACAAAGTCACTATTAAGAACAAGTACCCGTTACCGCGTATTGATGATCTATTTGACCAATTGCAGGGTGCTAGGGTGTTCTCTAAGATCGACTTGAGGTCGGGGTACCATCAGTTGAAGATTCGGGATTCAGATATTCTGAAGACTGCTTTTCGGACTAGATATGGTCATTATGAGTTTTTGGTGATGTCTTTCGGGTTAACTAATGCCTCCGGCAGCGTTTATGGATTTGATGAACAGGGTATTCCGGCCATATATTGATTCGTTTGTCATTGTCTTCATTGATGACATTTTTATCTACTCGCGCAGTAAGGAAGAGCACGAGCAGCATATGAGATTGGTACTTCAGATGCTGCGGGAACAAAAGATGTATGCTAAGTTCTCTAAATGTGAGTTTTGTCTAGATTCTGTAGCATTTTTGGGGCATATTGTATCGGGCGAGGGTATTATAGTTGATCCCAAAAAGATCGAGGCAATTCAGAATTGGCATCGTCCCACTTCGGCGACTGAGATCAGGAGTTTTCTAGGTTTAGCAGGTTATTATCGTCAATTTGTGGAGGGATTTTCATCTATTGCAGCACCTTTGACCAAATTAACCCAGAAGGGTACTCCATTCTGATGGTCCGATAATTGTGAGGTGAGCTTTCAGAAGCTCAAGATAGCATTGACTACATCACCAGTGTTAGTGTTGCCTTCTGATTTGGGAATGTATATAGTGTATTGTGATGCTTCACGCATTGGTTTTGGTTGTGTATTAATGCAGGAGGGGCGAGTTATTGCATATGCTTCACGTCAGCTGAAGCCCCATGAGAAGATTTATCTAGTACAACATTTGGAGTTAGCTGCAATTGTTCACGCTCTTAAGATTTGGAGGCATTATCTTTATGGGGTGTCTTGTGAGGTTTACACTGACCATCACAGCTTGCAGCATTTGTTCAAGCAGAGGGACCTAAATTTGAGGCAGCGCAGATGGCTAGAGTTACTAGAAGATTATGATATCACTATCCTATATCATCCGGGCAAAGCAAATTTAGTTGCAGACGCCTTAAGTAGAAAGGCAGAGAGTATGGGTAGTTTGGCTTTTATTGTAGCAGAGGAGAGGTCATTAGCTTTGGATATTCAATCCTTAGCTAACCGACTTGTGAGATTGGACATTTTAGAGCCCAATCAAGTTCTTGCATGTGTTGTAGCTCAGTCGTCATTATTTGAGCAGATCAAGGCTTGCCAGTTTGATGACCCACACTTATTGGTTCTTCAAGAAACGGTACTACGAGGTGGTGCCAAGGAGGTTACTATAGGAGGA